TGCAATTAGGCTCCGCCCCTCGATCTGACAACGAATGAAAAATTCAGTACGATTGAGATGGAGACGGATGGATGTGGCTTCTGTTTTAGTTTTCTTTTTGAATTATTTAAGTTCTATTTGTGTAAGACGATTATTTAAGAACATATTTCACATGGTAATTTCTCGTAGAAAAATAAGGATTTTACAATTCGACTTACGACGAATAAAAAAATCATCAGAATTGAGACAGGGTGGGTGGGCGGGGCTTAAATTTTGGCTTTTTTCTTAATATATATAGTCGTCTTTTCAGAATAAGAAACTTAAAACATGTTTAAAATGGTAAATTCTTGTACACAAATATGGATTTTGCAATAAACCCCGCCCCTCGATTTGACAACAAATGAAAAATTCATCAGAATTGAGAATTAAGACCAGCGCGGGTGTGGGTGGGGCCTAATCTTTGGGTTTATTTTTTTTCTTAATATACATAGTATTCTTTGAACAACACGATACTCAAAATCATCTTTTCATTTCTCGTAGAGAAATAAGGATTTTGCAGTTAAGCTCCGCCCCCTTGCTTCACGACGAATAAAAAAATGCGTCACAAATGAGGTCGGGTGGGTGGGCGGGGCTCACATTTTGCCTTTTTTTATTAATATGTGTAGATTTATATCGACAACAAGAAACTTAAAAATTATTAAACTTGTAATCAAAATCGAAAATTTGGACAAAAAAATAATATTTTACGATAAATGCATAGATCATGCAAAAATTTGGTAACAGAACTTCCATGGACTAAATTTTTCTTAAATTTTTTTCAGTCTTGCAAAATCTGGAGATATTGATATTAATTTTTTTTAAATTGTGTTGTTTTTCAAGATTTCTTATTTTTCTTTCAATAACTGTACAGTTTTCGGAGATTTTTTTCACTAATTTTTATTTTTTCGCGACTTTCTTCAGATTTAATTCAGATCACAAGTTCGTTCTTCAGATCTCGATTTTTCTCTCTACGAAAAAAGCTTGAGAAGAAAAACTGTAAATCTTCGATGAAACTTCGTGAGAAAAATTAATGGGGCCGAAATTTCGTGAAAGCTAAAATTCAAAATTTGACAAAAAATTCTTCAACTTGAAATTAAAATCGAAAATTTCGACTAAAAACTAAAACTTCGTGTGGGAAAATTACAGAGCTTTAAATCTCGTAAAAACAAAAACTCAAAATTGTGCCAAAAAAATTATTCAAATTGTAATCAAAAGCGAAAATTTGGCCAAAAATTAAAACTTTACGATAAATACACGGACTATAAGAAGATTTAAATAGAACCACGACGGACCAAATTTTTCTTCAATTTAGAAGTATTTACCATTTTAAACATGTTTTAAGTTTCTTGTTCTGAAAAGGCGACTACATAGACATATTAAGAGAAACGACAAAATATAAGCCCCGCCCGCCCACCCTATCTCAATTGTGATGATTTTTTTATTCGTCGTGAATCAAGGGGGTGGAGCTTAACTGCAAAATACTTATTTTTTACAAGAAATTAAAAACATGTTTTTGAATATCGTGTTGTTCAAAGAATACTGTGTATATTAAGAAAAAAAAGGCAAAATATAAACCCCGCCCACCCACCCCATCTCAACTGTGATGACTTTTTTTATTCTTAGAAACTCAAAACACGTTTAAAAGCGTAAATTTACGAAAAGAAATATGTATTTTCCAATTAGGCTCCGCCCCTCGATCTGACAACGAATGAAAAATTCAGCACGATTGAGATCGAGACCGATGGGTGGGGCTTCTCTTTTGTTTTTTTTTTTAATTATTACATTTAGCTTTCTTTGTGTAACACGATTACTTAAGAACATATTTCACATGGTAATTTCTCGTAGAAAAATAAAGATTTTACAATTCGGCTTACGACGAATAAAAAAAAATCATCAGAATTGAGACAGGGTGGGTGGGCGGGGCTTAAATTTTGCCTTTTTTCTTAATGCATATAGTCGTTTTCTCAGAACCAGAAACTTAAATCATGTTTAAAATGGTAAATTCTTGTAGACAAATATGGATTTTCCAATAATACGATATTCAAAATCATGTTTTTCAGTTTTCGTAGAGAAATAACGATTTTGTTGATAAGCTCCGCCTTCTTGGCTCACGACGAATAAAAAAATTCATCACAATTGAAATCGGGTGGGTGGGCGGGGCTCACATTTTGCCTTTTTTTTTATTAATATGTGTAGATTTATTTTGACAACAAGAAACTTAAAAATTATTAAACTTGTAATCAAAATCGAAAATTTGAACGAAAAATTAAGATTTTACGAGAAATACACAGATCATAAAAAATTTGGTAATTAACAGAACCACCACGAACTAAAACTTTCTTCAATTTTTTCTATTCTTGAAATATCTGGAGATATTAATATTTATATTTTTTAAATTGTGTTTTTTCTCCAAGATTTATTGTTTTCCTCTCAATAACTCTACAGTTTTCAGAGATTTTTTTTTAATTTTTTCATGACTGTCTTGAGTTCTAATTGAGATTGCAATGTCGTTCTTCAGGTCTCAATTTTTCTCTCCACTAAAAAAGCTTGAGCAGAAAAACTGTAAATCTTAGACGAAATATCGTGAGAAAAATTAATGAGGCCGAAATTTTGTCATAACTAAAATTCAAAAATTTGGCAAAAAGTTCTTCAACTTGAAATAAAAATCGAAAATTTTTAACAAAAACGAAATAAAAGCTCGTGAGGGAAAATTAAAGAGCTTTAAATCTTGTAAAACAAAAACTCAAAATTGTGCCAAAAAAATTATTCAAATTGTAATCAAAAGCGAAAATTCGGCTAAAAAATTAAAACTTTGCGATAAATACACGGACTATAAGAAGATTTAAATAGAATCACGACGGACCAAATTTTTCTTCAACTTAGAAAAATTTACCATTTTAAACATGTTTTAAGTTTTTTGTTTTGAAAAAGCGACTACATAGACATATTAAGAGAAACGACAAAATATAAGCCCCGCCCACCCGCCCTGTCTCAATTGTGATGATTTTTTTTATTCGTCGTGAATCAAAGGGGCGGAGCTTAACTGCAAAATACTTATTTTTTACGAGAAATTAAAAACATGTTTTTGAGTATCGTGTTGTTCAAAGAATATTATGTACATTAAAACAAAAAAAGGCAAAATATAAACCCCGCCCACCTACCCCATCTCAATTGTGATGATTTTTTTTATTCTTAGAAACTTAAAACACGTTCAAAATCGCAAATTTTGTACAGAAATATGGATGTTGCAATTAGGCTCCGCCCCTCGATCTGACAACGAATGAAAAATTCATCACGATTTAGGTCGACACGGATGGGTGGGGCTTCTGTTTTGGTTTTCTTTTTAATTATCACATCTAGTTTTCTTTGTGTAACACGATTATTTAAGAACATATTTCACATGGTAATTTCTCGTAGAAAAATAAGGATTTTACAATTCGACTTACGACGAATAAAAAAAATCATACGAATTGAGATAGGGCGGGTGGGTGGGGCTTATATTTTGCTTTTTTTTTCTTAATATACATAGCCATCTTTTCACAACAAAAAACTTAAAACAAAATCAAGCTTTTCATTTCTTGTAGAGAAATAAGAATTTTGCTCTTAAGCTTCGCCTTCTTGCTTCACGACGAATAAAAAAAATCATCACAATTGAGATCGGGTGGGTGGGCGGGGCTCACATTTTCTATTTTTTTTTATTAATATGTGTAGATTTATTTCGACAACAAGAAACTTAAAAATTATGAAATTTGTAATCAAAATCGAAAACTTTGACAAAAAATTAAGATTTTACGAGAAATACACAGATTTTGAGTAAAAGTTGAATAATGTTTGAACACCACTTAGAATTTTTGTTTTCAGGAGAGATCCAGTTATTTAATTTTTCCTCACGATGTTTTATTCAAGATTTTGACAGTTTTTTTTCTCAAGATTTTCTCGTGGAGAGTAAAATCGAAACCTGAGGAACGAGATTCAGGTTGGAAACTTAATAAAAGCGAAGATATTAAAAATAAAACAAAAATTATTGAAAACCTCTGGAAACTGTAGAGATATTGAGACAATAAAAACAACAGATCTTGAAAATAGCCACAATTTAATAAAGTAATTATATATATTATATCCTCAGATCATGACCGGAAAAAACTGAAAAAAATTCAATCCGCTGTGGTTCAAATTAATGCCGATTTTTTTCCCACCGTAGTTCAAATTAATGCCGATTTTTTTATTATCTGTGGATTTATTCTAAAATTTTAGTTTTTTGTCCGAATTTTCGATTTTTATTTCAAGTGAAAGAATTTTTGCCTCTGAAAATTGTAGAGATATTGAGACGAAACCATCAAATCTTGAAAAAAAAACAATTAAAAAAATATATCTAACTATTAATATCTCCAGATTTCTCAGATCTGGAAAAAAAATGAACAGAATTTAGTTCATCGTGTTTTAATTCAAATTTTCGATTTTTTATTTCAAGTTGAACAATTTTTTTAATATGGTTTTGAATTTTTGTTTTCACCAGATTTCCCAGCTCTTTAATTTTTTTCTAACGATGTTTAATTGAAGATTTTTACAGTTTTTGGTCTCAAGATCGAGACCTGAGGAACGAAGTTTAAGTTGGGATCTATATAAAAATCGAAGATTATCAAAATGAAACATAAATTATTGAAAAAACCTTTGGAAACTGTTGAGATATTGAGACAAAAAAAAAGCCAAATCTTCTTATAGTCTGTATAATGGTACAGTTTGAATTTTTTGACATAACTTTGAATTTTTTTTCGACAAGATTTAATGCTTTTTAATTTTTCCTCCCGAAGTTTTAGTTTTTGATCGAAATTTTCGATTTTTATTTCAAGTTGCTTCATTTTTGCACAAATTTTTGAATTTTAGTTTGCACGAAATAAATATTTAAAAATTGCCGTAAGTTAAATGCGCAATTTCGAAAAAACGAAACCGAAAATCCTTCTGTATCTCCAGCACCCACTCACCTTCTGAATCAGCGGCTCGGTCTTGCACCAGTCCCTCTGCAGATACTCCTTCTTGGTCACGAACAGCGCGTTCTTGCTGCTCTTCAGCAGCTTCCGCCCGTTGAACCCCCGCAAGTCCTGCAGCAGCTCGGTGGCTCGGTACGGGTCGGAGTGGTTATTCCGGCGCAGGAAAAGATTAATATCGACGCGAGGATTCTCGACCCGGGGGACCATCTGCTCGTCGTCCAGAAGCTTGAGCTTCTGGATCTGGAACTCCTGCTCCGGGGGGATATAGTTCTCGTCCAGCTCGTTCTCGAGCAGGTAGCGCTTCTCCTCGCGGGAGGCGTTCTGTTTCTTCTCGGCCAGCAGCCGCTCGACTTCTTTGGTGTTGATGATGTCGAGGATGGACTCGCTGCGGGGGGTGCGCAGGCACGAGCAGAGCCCGGCGACGACGAGGAGCAGGGGGAGGGCCTGGAGCAGCATCTGGAAGGAAGAAGCAACTATGAAACTAGATAGCTACAAAAATTGGTCCAAAGTTATTTTGACAGAACTTCCTTCGCCTCTGAAGTACAGTCCAAAAATAGTGCTTCGCTGAAAAATGATAAATATTGATTTTGAGGAATTTTACTTTTTTGTGATAACTTCTATGGAGTGAAAACAATATAGGAGGTCCTAGTCACAATGTAACACAAAAAAGATAAGACTTATTTCGGCAAATGACATATTCTCTTAGAAAATAGGGGTGGGTGGGCGGGCGGGGCTAGTACTTGCTCAGATAAGACTGATTTTGGCAAATGATATATCCTCTGAGAAAATAGGGGTGGGTGGGCGGGGCTAGTAGTTGCTAAGATAAGATTTTGGCAATTCCTGTAAAGTTTTATCTTACCCTATTTTCTCAGAGTAGACCGTCATTTGCCAAAATGAGACAATCTAATTACTAAAAATTGGAGAAAAATGAGAAACTAATATCTAAAAGTGTTCTCAAAAAATATAAAAATTGGTTCTATTCGAACGGAAAAATGTACTACTACATCAAAAATTATACAGAAAACCAACGTAGATTACGAACTGAAAATCGTTTTTCCGACCATCTTTCTAATAATCGAGGAAAATGAGAAATTATTTCTAAAAAAAAAAATATAAAAATGATTTTACTCGAACAAAAAAGGCGACAAAATATAGAGAATCAAATGTAAATCTTGAATAATAAGTGATTTCTGGGATATCTCTTCAAATAACGAAAAGCCAATATTACACAATTTACTGAAATTTTCCAAAAAAATTATGTAGGTGTGATGAACCTGGAGCAAGAAAAATGGGAATCTTATATCCAAACATTTTTTTTTATATTAAAAGTGGCAGAATTCGATTTTTCAGTTTCTAGATTTTTTATTTATTTGTAATTTTTTGAGTTTTAATGTTACAATTTTAATTCCTTCAATTTTGCAGTTTGTCGATTTTTTATTTTTCAAAAAGTCGACTAAAAATTCTCAAAAAATTGAGGGATGTAGATCTCGACGCGCAGATTCCAAAAATATAGCATGTTAAATCGGTGTGCAATTCGAATTTTTTGAAATTTCTAAAAATTTCGCTATTTCAATAAGCGATTTTGGAAAAACGACTTGAGTTAACGAAGAAATGAGGTCGGAACTGATTTCTGGGGCCCGAAATCTACAAGAAAATCTATTTAGTTAAATTTCGAAAATGGTCGTAACTTACAGTGTGAACTTTCATTTTTGAAAAAGTAGGCTAAAAATTCTCAAAAAATTCAGGATTTCAGATCTTGACGTGCAGATTTCAAAAATATAGCATGTTTAGGGTCGCGGAGCAATATTTTCGAAATATTCGGAGTGAAGTTCGAAGTTTTGCATTTTTTAAATCCTAGTCTCGGAAAAATCCTAAGAAATCCTAAGAAATCTTGAGAAATCTTACGAAATCCTGAGAATTGTTGAGAAATGATAAGGGATCTTCTGAAATTTTAAGAAATTTTGACAAATCCAGAGAAATCCTGAGAAATGTTGAGAAAATTTGAGAAATCCTGACAGTCTCGAGAATGATGACAAATCTTGAGAAAATTTGAAATATCCTAAGAAATCATGACAAATCTTGAAAAATCTTGATAAAACTCGAAAAACGTCGAGAAATTTTTGGGAAATCTTGAAAACCCTTGAGTAATTTTGAAGTCTTGATAAATCTTGAGAAATTTTGAGACATATTGAAAAATCTAGAAAAATTTTGAGAAATCTCGAACTCTAGGAACTTCGAAACCTTGAAAAATCTTGAGAAGCCCTGAGAAATTTTAATAAATCTTGATAAATTTTGAGAAATCTTGAGAAATCCTGAGAATTGTTGATGAATTATGAAAAATCTTGAGAAATTTTAAGAAATTTTGAGAATTCCCGAATTATAGAAACCTTGAGAAATCCCGAGGAATCCTGAGAAATGTTAAGAAATCTTGAAAAATCCTAAGAATCTTTTGAGAATGATGAGAAATCGTAATAAATCTTGAAAAACCTTGAGAAGGCTCGAAATACGTTGAGAATTTTTGGGGAAATATTGACAAATCTGTTGAAATCCAGAAAAACCTTCAGTAATCTTGAAGTATTGATAAATCTCGAGAAATTTTGAGAAATATTGAGAACTCTAGAAACTTCGAAACCTTGAAAAATCTTGAGAAACCCTGAGAACATTTAATAAATCTTCGTAAATTTTGAGAAATCTAGGAACTCTAGGAACTTCGAAACCTTGAAAAATCTTGAAAAATCCTGAAAATTTTGAAAATTTTGAAAATGATGAGAAATCGTAATAAATCTTGAAAACTCTTGAGAAGGCTTGAAAAACGGGGAGAATTTTTGGGGCAATCTTAATAAATCTTGTGAAATCCAGAGAAACATTGACTAATCTTGAAGTATTAATAAATCTTGATAAATTTTGAGAAATCTTGAGAAATCCTGAGAATTGTTGAGAAATTATGAAAAATCTTGAAAAATTTAAAAAAATTTTGAGAAATCTCGAAATATAGAAACCTTGGGAAATCGCGAAAAATCCTGAGAATCTTGAGAATGATGAGAAATCGTAATAAATCTTGAAAAATCTTGAGAAGGCACGAAAAACGTCGAGAATTTTTGGGGAAATCTTGACAAATCTTGTGAAATCCAGAGAAACCTTGAGTAATCTGGAAGTATTGATAAATCTTGACATATTTTGAGAAATATTGAGAACTCTAGAAACTTCAAAACCTTGAAAAATCTTGAGAAACTCTGAGAAACTTTAATAAATCTTGGTAAGTTTTGAGAAATCTTGAGAAATGTTGACGAATAATGAGAAATTTTGAGAAATCTCGGAACTCTAGGAAATTCGAAACCTTGAAAAATCTTGAGAAACACTGAGAAACTTTAATAAACCTTGGTACATTTTGGGAAATGTTGAGAAATGATGAGAAATCTCGAGAAATTTTAAGAAATTTTGAGAAATCTCGAAATATAGAAACCTTGAGAAATCCAGAGAAATCCTAAGAAATGTTGAGAAATCTTGAGAAACGTTGTAATCTCCTGAGAAATCATGATAAATGTTGAAAAACCTTGAGAAGGCCCGAAAAAGGTCAAGAAATTTCGGAGCAATCTTGGGAAATCCTGTGAAATCTTGAGTAATCTTGATAACTCTTGATATATCTTGAGAAATTTTGAGAAACATTGAGAACTCTTGAAAAATGTTGAGAAATCTCGAACTCTAGAAACTTCGAAGCCTTGAAAAATCTTAAGTAACCCTGAGAAATTTTCATTAATCTTGATAAATTTTGAGAAATCTCGAGAAATCCTGAGAATTGTTGAGAAATCTTGAGAAATTTTGTGAAACATAGAAACCTTGAGTAATCTCGAGAAACTTGAAATGTCCTGAGAAATTATTATAAGTCTTGAAAAATTTTGAGAAGATCGAAAAATTTCGGAGAAATCCTGAGAAACCTTGAGTAAACTTGAAGCCTTGATAAATCTTGAGAAATTTTGAGACATATTGAAAAATCTAGAAAAATTTTGAGAAATCTCGAACTCTAGAAACTTCGAAACCTTGAAAAATCATTAGAAACCCTAAGAAACTTTAATAAATCTTGATAAATTTCGAGAAATCTTGAGAAATCCTGAGAAATGTTGAGAAATCTTGAAAAATCCTGAGAATCTTGAGAAAGATGAGAAATCGTAATAAATCTTGAAAAATCTTGAGAAAACTCGAAAAACGTCGCGAATTTTCGGGGAAATCTTGAGAAATCTTGTGGAATTTTAAGAAATATTGAGAATTCTTGAAAAATTTTGGGAAATTTTGAGAAATCTTGGACCTTGAAATTTCGAAATCTGGAAATCTCGAAATTTCGAAATCCTGAAACTTTGAGAAACCTCCAGAAACCTATTGAAAACTCGAAAAAATCTCATAGAAGTCTTGAGAAATCTTGAATATTCTTGAGAAATCGTGAAAAACTCTGAAAATATATAGAAACCTCGAACCACGAAACCTTGAGAAATTCTAAGAAATCTAGAGATATCTTGAGAAATCTTGAGACACCTTAAGAAATTTGAAGAAATCCTGAGAAATCCTGAAAAGTGTCGAGAAATCTTGAACTTGTAAATTTTAAGAAGTCTCGAAAAATCCTGAAAAATCCTGGGAAGTGTCGAGAAACCTCAAAATTGTCTCGAAGAAATCTTGAGAAATCTCGAAATCTCGAAACGTGGAAACGTGTAGAAATATTGAGAAATCCTGAGAAATCTTGAGAAATCTTAGAGAAATTCGAATTTTTTGAAATTTCAATTTTTTTTCAGTACTTCTTAAGATAAAACTGATTTTGGCAAATTATATACTCTGCAAAATAGAGGGTGGGTGGGCGGGGCTAGTACTTGCTACGATATAATTGATTTTGGCAAATGAGATACCTTCTAGGAAAAGAGAGGGCGGGTGGGCGGGGCTAGTACTTGCTAAGATAAGACTGGTTTTAGCAAATGACGTATCATCTAAAAATTTATTTAAATTATCACAAGAAAAGTCACTAGAGTTACCAAAGCACTTTCAAATTCTTTCCAAACAGAAATACCTAGAACCTCAAGATTGTTTTAAATTTTTCAAAAAAAAACGGGCCCAAAATTAACCCAGAAACAAGTCAGGTTAGAATTTTCCTATAACAGAACACCAAAGTCCCTGAAATGGGCTCCCAATAGAATGGGTACCCAAACGTCGACTTTTTCAAATTCGTAAAAAGTAAAAGTTTAGTCGTTTATTCTGAAAAAATTCAAGGATATCGATCTCGACTCCCTGATTCCTAAAATATAGCATGTTTATGGTCACGGACAAATATTTTAGAAATATTCGGGGTGAAACTCAAATTTCGATATTTGAGTACTTGTTAAGATGAAACTGATTTTGGCAAATTACATAGCCTCCAAGAGAAGAGAGGGTGGGTGGGCGGGGCTAGCTCTTGCTCAGAAAAGACTGATTTTGGT